ACCTTACGCAAGAGCAAATGTCAAAGCTTACCCCCGCACAGCATGCGCAGTACAGAGCACAGTTGCTGAAAGCCCAGGATGCATCCAACAACAAGATGCAACAACAGCGCGGCGGCATGCTCAATTCTGAGGAGCTTCGGCAGAGAATGAGCGACCCTGCACGCATCCGGCAGTTTAAGCAAATGATGGAGGAGGTGGAGAAGAGCATACCCGCGAAGCAGCCAATCGCACTGCCAGCGGCAGCACGTACCGCTCTACAGAAATCGCTAAAGGAACAGTTCCAACGCCTAAAGCAGTCAGACCAGGCGCTTCGCATCTTCCATGCCTCGTACGATACCAACGAGCCCGAGCCAGTCATTCGCCAAATCATGCGATCGCGCGCGCTCTTGTTTAAGCAAATCAATGAAGCCGATGGCACTCTGCATCCTCAGGTGACACTGACAATCGAGGAGTTTAAAAATCATTTGAGCACGATATTCAAGTTTGTCATCAAGATTCAGGAGAAGGTCAAGCAACAGACACAGGGTCAGGGCCCAGCTGCCCAGCAATCCCAGCCTCAGGGTTCGAATGCCTCGCCTGCCCAACTTAATGCTGCAAATCTGAAGATCGTAGAACAACAAAACCGCACCCAAAAGGCCCCGTCCGCCCCTACGACCGACCGACCACCGTTTGCCATTGGCGCCGACCCCGGCCATGGAGCTGCGCATTACTTTGAGGGAGCAAGACCGGTCACGAACCTCGTGTTGCCTGAAAAGAAGCGCGCGAAGCTCGAAGCAGGCAGCCAATCGTCGACTCCTGCTGCCAGAGCCTCTCCTCATATCGGCTCCGGTAACTCACCTGAACTCAGGAGACAACCAGCGCCCGACAAGCAAGTGCCACAAAGACCGACATTCCGATGCAACGATACGACTTGTGAATACTCTGTACGAGGCTTCGACACCCAGGCCGAACTCGACTTGCACAGCCAAATACACGCAAAGGTCGAAAACCCGATGCAGTTCGCTCTCGACTCCATGGCTGAATACCTCGACATTGACCAAAAGACTGGTGAAGCGAAAACTGACCCTAATGCCTCCAAGTCAACGCCAAAGGCAGCGCCAGCTACTTTGCTAGCACCGCCGCAAAACATCAAGACTGAGCAGACTCCTGGTGCTTTGCAGAATGCCGCTACACCTGTCGGACAAACAGCAACAGCCTCGGCCATGGCGCGCGTGCCGACACAGACTGGGGTTAAGGACTCGCCGTCGTCTAATCTGCTGAAGACACCGCAAACCATGACCAAGGTGACTACTCCTGGCTCAGGTGCACGAGGCAAGGCCACGCCAGCCAGCATTCCCAAGTCTGTACCAAAGGAGCAGCAAGTGGCAGCATCGGAACCAGCAGCAAAGGAGGATGAGCAACAGCAACAGCCAATGCTGCCCATGTCGATTCTCGACTACTCGTACGAGGACACCTTTGCAGCTCTAGATGCAAATGGACCATTTACCGTGCTTGATCTCAAGGACGAGGACAATGCTTGGGCACTTCGGTCTCGGCCCGCCTCACCGTCGACTACACCCGAGTCGTCTTCCAAGGATACGCCGTCTACGAGGCAGTCGGATATTTCGGAGAATGACAACCTTGTCATTAGCATTGATCTTAAGGATGCGGACATGCCTGATGCCTGGGCTGTCGGCATGTACGGCGACGCACTTCCGGTGGACCTGCAATTATCGGAAGACTTGCAGAATCTCGGCGTTATGCTTCCTCCCATGGACAGTGAGGATATGATGTTATTTCCCGACTATGGAAACGGAACGATGATGGATCTCGACATGCTCGAGAAGACTATGGATAGTATGGGTGGAACACTTGATGCACCTATTGTAGGTGTATGATTTTCTGAAAATTTTATTTCTGGGGAGGCTTCTTTTTTTGTCTTATTCTTTATTCTAGCGTTGCTCTTTTTTTGATATGCAATGTTTTTTCAGTGCGTGTGTTTTTCGGGATTTCTACATGGCATTTGGGCCAATCTTTTTTCTCTAACCTACCACGCGCAATGTATTACCACACTTTCTCTTGTTCACTTGCATCTCGGTTCTCCCCCCGCCCACTTCCCCCGATTTCTTTGTCTATTTGCTTGGATGTATGGAGCTTTTTTGGAGGCCCTTTCTTCTTTTCTTCGATTTGAAGCTGGTTTTACTTACGGCCGAGATTACCGTCAGAAGTTTTTTTTATGGGGAAATGCGAAATTTATGGGTGCGTGCTTTTTACTTTACCTCTCTTGCGATACGAGGGGAAATGCGAATATAAACTGGCTCCCACCTTTTTTTGGTGTTTTAACTTTGTGCGGGGGTTATTTTCGGTTTCCGCAAAGTTTATCATACGTTTTCTCTATTATCGTATTGTTTTCTTGCTGGGCGTTTTCTCGGTGATAACAATGATTTTTTTTGCGTGTGTTTTTATTTGATTTGAAGAATTTCGGATTAATTATACCCCCCCCCCCCTTCCCCCTTACTCTTTTTGAGCTTCAAATCAATTGATATCATGATATCCTCCAATCTAAATTTGATTCATTCAGCTTCCTCACCCCCCCTTTTTTCTTTACACTTTGCGGGGAATTTTACAGCAAATTATTCTAGGTTTAGAAATAATAATACCACATCTACTGATCTCGATTTCCCCCCCCCCTCCCCCCCCTTTTTTTTTTCTCTTTTCTTCTTCCCCCATCCCCTCTCATCATCTCACATACCTTACATACTTACACCTCTATACACCATACACATTTCCTATACGATCCTACACGATCCCCCCTTCCCATCCACAAAAAAACAAACCCCTATCTCTCCATCGCCCCTCCTGCCCATCCAATCGTCCCCCCTCATGCAACAACACACTTATAACCCGCGTTCCTCGCACATACATCTGGGATGGTAGATGATCTAGGGTTATCCTGACGGTGAGTTGCATATGTACATGTACATGTATATCTAGGTAAGTGGGCAAGGACAAGGATGGGAGGGGGGGGATCGAGAGCAGGACGGGATCGAGGTAGAGGCGGGATGGAAGGGGAAGGAGTAATTGGTGGGTGGGGGGATGGGGATCCGGGGCGTGGATGCAGATGTGGTGGTGGTGTGGAGGGGGAGAGTAATCGTGATTTGGAAGTGTGCATGTTGGAGAGTGACGAGGGGTGGGGTGGGATTGGTGTATAGCTAGAAGGGGGAGTGTTGGTGGTGGGAGGGGTGGGGAGGGATGGGGATGTGTGTAGTAGAGGTCAAGTATGGTAAGTTTGTACATCTACACCTAAGAGTAGGTATATTCAGCACAGTAGCAAGTGTGATATGAAAATGCGGCAATGGTAGTATTTTTCTCACTCGCCAACGGTAACGGCAGCGGAAACGGCACATAGAAGCCGGCTTGATAGGATTCTTATCGAGATTACTACATATGATCCACACACACACACACACACATGAACCTCGATGCGAATGACAGTTTTCTGACCGACGGCCAAAAGAGCCGTGAGATGGTGACGTCATTATTGTACGTGCAAGAGCCCACGACCAACGCACACAAAGGAAAACAAAGACGAGACAAGAAGCAAAGAAGAAACAAAGAAAAAAATCCTCAAGACCGTTGCAGGTTGGGTGCATGGATGCAATTGGTCAAGGGATATGTGACGCAACAAACGACCGAAAAACGGACCGCTTGGGCAAGCCAAGCAAATGATTGCCATGATTTTATTTCCCGCGTGGGATGCAAGATGGGTGATGTGAGCAAAAAACGTTTGCTGACGATGGCCAACAGCGCGGGGTTCGTGAGCCATGACGAGCGGGTGGTTCGCCCCGCAATCGTCAAAGGGGGGCAAAAATGCCACCTGACCCGTCTTTTTGGCTCCGTGGAACTAGAACATCGTCTCGCCTCTTAATTCGAGGTCGGCGAAGACCCTGAGGTTCAACCATGGTACACGTGCCATATGTGTTTGTTGAGAAATGGCGTGGTTTTGACACGGTGCGACAAGCCCACATGTCCCACGAGCGAGAGCAAGCGAAGCGGTTTGCCTTTACATACATGCACTAACTGGTACCATGGTACGGCGGACGCCTCCCCTTTGGTTTGGTTGCATTGCATGTCCCAACGACAAGGGATGAACGCCTCGATAGTGTGTATCGGAGAAAAAAAGATCGAGGTGACGTTGCCCAAGGTGCACACCAACAGTCTATACTACTACTACACTTGGGTTGCGGGATGCGAAGGCGGAAGAGGAAGAGAAAAAAAAAGGAAAGAAAAATCTTTGGGCGGTATGACGTTGAGTGCATGCATGGCCGAGTGGCGACTTACAGTAGATACATGCTGGAGTATGTACCTACTGTCCACCTACCTGTGCTGTCTGGGTTTGACTATCGGCCTACATGCAGGGAACCAGCAGAGGAAATCGCATGGCGCAACGACGGATGCGAGGAGCTATTCTCGGCGAAGCTGGGGTGCAAGGGGACGCCACGCGGGTCATGCTGCGAGGATGACTTGCACGGCAAGATGAAGATGTGTCAGCGGCTTGCTGTGAAGAGGTAGCGTTGGACGGTAAGAGACGTCGTGGAAATGCTAAGCATGTGTCGTGCGGAAAAGCTGCTATTTGCGGACACGGTAGTATGAGATGGGAAGTGGCCTGAGCGGTGAGCGCAAGGCTTTGGGCGGTGAGAATGGCAGTGGTTGGTGAGACATGACCATGGACAGGGTCTAAGGGGTGGGGTCTGGGGTAGAATGACCATCTGGTTCTGCTCGAGTGTGTAGCCAGCTTGCGAGAATCTTGGGTAGCGATACGTGGTCGGGGATGGTTAGGTATTATAGGGGAGATGCTAGTAAGCAGGCGGGACTTTGTGTTTGTGATAAAATACGCTTGTGGAGATTAGAAATTGCGATGATCATGCTAACCAAGACGAGCCGAATGCAGTGGCCCAAGACGGCTAGGCGTGTAGGGCGATTTCGCTAAGATTGCCGCGGCTCGTTGCAGTTGCCCCCCATCAGGGCGTCTTTGGCTTTGGGCGTGCATGGGGGTGGTGGAAGCCAACACCAAGAAGCAGACAGATGCGCGTCACAGCCAGCATGTAGACAAAGGGGATGTTGCCCATGTCAATGGCATTCCAATCCCAGAAGCTCCAGTAAATGTGGGCGCCCAGTGGCAACACCGTGTACAGGTGCCCAAAATCGGCGAGCAGCAGGCCGATGAGAAAGGTTTTCCAGACTTTGACGTCTGGAGTGGCGCGCAGGACTGAGGCTTCGAGAAAAGCAAGACCGAGATACATGTTTGCCAATTGAGTCAGGACGATTTTTGTTGGGATGGGGACGAGTGCGTCTGGGGCGCTTGGGGCGTGCATGGTAAGGTCCAGGTAGGTCGTCTGGAAGCATGCTGCATACACGGCGCCGAGTAGAATGGAACATGGTTCTATCCACAAGAAGACGAAGCGGTAGAAGCCGGGTATTGCTAGTGCGGGTGGAGCGGCAGCCGGCATGTTTGAGTGCGAATGGTTTGGTTTCGAGTGGTGTAGACGCGACTCAGCCCAAAACCGTCGCAGAGTGGGCGTGCCCGGCGGCGGTAGCAAAGAAGGGTGGTAGTGTTGCGGCGAGGCCGGGATGTGGAGGGGGTGATGGGGGGGAGTCGTGTTGGAGAATGGAGAGAGAGGGGAGGGGGAGGATGGTAAGCGATGAAGAAGCAAGGGGGGAGGTGTGCCAGGAATAGTAGAGGAGGTGAAAGAAGCAGATGCAATGGTGGTGGTGGTGGCAGTGGCAATGGGAGGGAAGTAGCAGTAGCAGCAGCAGCAATGGATGCAGCAGTAGCAGCAGTAGTAGCCAGCGGCAGCGGCAGAAGAAGAAGAAGAAGAAGAAGAAGAAGAATAAGAACAAGAGAAGGTGGCAATGGGTGTGGCGGTGATGGCGGTGATGGTGTTGTGGTGTGCATGAGCAGCAAATTGCCAGGGGTGGAGCGCCGCGAGACACTTGTCGCCGCCGTCGCTGTGTTATGATCGGCTGGCACTAGCTAAGCAAGTCGAGCGGTGCGACGGAATCTGGCTCTGTCTGCTTCCTCTTCGTTGGCCGTTCGCCTCGTGCTAGTCTTCTCTCTCTACTTACTCTTTTCTTACTTATGCTGCTCGTCTGCCCGTGAGCTCCGCCCTTGTTCCGCATCCTTGCTCTGCCGCTACAATTTCCTTCACCCTCATTTCGCCGCGCCCTCGTGGTTGTGCACGCTCTCTACCCGGCCCCGTCTCCGCCCTGCCCTGCTCGTTGCTGCTCTCTCCTTAGCCTGCCCGACGACGCTCCCTGTTTCCCCGTCTCTGCTGCTGTTGCTCACGCTGCTACTACTGCTGTGACATTACGCCTCGCTTTTTGTTTCGGTCTCATCCTCACCGCAACTCTTACCCGCTCCGGCCGACACGCCTCCAATGTATCGCAGGCAGTCCATCCTGTCGCATCGACCCAAAACCTCTTCCGACGTAGACGCTGAATCCTCCTCCTGCGCTGCCAACACCACAAACTTTGGAAGCCACTCCACCCCCAGCAGCGCCAACACCACCACCAACAACAACAACAACAATACACACGCCACTGCTAACACTACCAACAACACCACCACCACTACCACCACGACCCCTATCCCTTCATCCCCGCCTCACACCATGAAGCGGACCATTTCACAGACCTTCCCGGCCCCCTATCACTCCGACATCAAGGACACCAACATGCTCGACGCCGTCAACGAAGCCACAATGTCCATTGACGGCTCTTCACAGCACTCGCAGGCGAGCTCCTTCTCGCGCGCCTTTGGTGCCGTAGCCGGAAGCTTCACACGCCAGAAGACACGCAGGCGAATGTCATCAGTCTCTTCTCCTACACCTGCACAACGCCGCCGTGGTTCCATTCACTCTCTCTTCGAGTCCCTGCCCTCGTCGAGCTCAACACAGTCCAAGCCCAACGCCGATCAACCACGCATGCCCCTGGTACACCAAGACTCTGGAATCCCTGTCTTTCAAATGCAGCCACAATCCGCCTCGTCGAGCTCAAAGGCCTTTGCCCCCTTTCGGCGATTGAGCAGCATGCGCCGCCGACCGAATGCTTCTTCTTCGTCAGCCGACATGACAAAGACCGTCTTTGCCGCCCCAGTCTCGTACCCCAGCCAAGCCATCCCCGGCACCGCAGCACGACAAGCGGCCGCAGCCGCCAACCAGGACCGACAAAATCAACTTCGCCGCGAGCAAGAGCACACGCGAAGCTTTCTCGACGGCCTTATTCCGTCATCGCGTGATGACGACATAAAGGACAACGAGAGCGGAGTGGACATGACGTGTGCATCGCCTATTGTTCGGGCGGATAGCGTTACCGAGAAGAAGATGAGTGAGTTGTTGCATCCACTCGCCAGCCGACCTTCGCTAACCACCCCAGTCGATCCATTCCAGCGCCTACCAGCCGAACTCGCTACCACTGTCCTCTCCAACCTCGACGCCGCCTCGCTCGTCCGTGCTGAGCGCGTATCGCGCAGCTGGAACGAGCATGCTGCCTCGCCCCACGTCTGGCGTAATGTCTTCCTCCGCAAGCACGAGCCCGAAGTACACGTCTCACCTGCGCCAATCCAAATGGGCGGCCTGGGTACTGGCAAGATGGCGGGCGGAAACCCAGCACCTGCACAAGACTGGAAGAAGATGTTCCAGGCGAGAGCCACCATCGACGCTCGATGGAAGGCAGGCACACCTGCTGCCATTTACTTGAACGGCCACACAGATAGCGTCTATTGCTGCCAGTTTGACGAGAACAAGGCCATCACTGGCTCCCGCGACCGCACCATCCGTGTATGGGACCTCCAGACGTACAAGTGCATCAAGGTATACGGAGGTCCTAACCACCGCCCAACCGCCAATACCCCTCCCCCCATGGAGGAGCGACCAGAGCGTGTCATTAGCAACGCCTCGATGAACGGTACAAAGATTGGCAACGACATCTACACAGTTCCTGCTGATTACCACGACGCGTCCATTCTCTGCCTCCAGTACGACAGTGAGATCATGGTCACTGGCTCTTCAGACTACACTTGCATTGTTTGGGATATCACAGGCGAGGAATACGTTCCCATGTACAGGCTGCGTGGCCACGAAGCTGGTGTTTTGGATGTCTGCCTCGACGACAAGTACATTATTTCATGCTCCAAGGACGCCATGATCAAGGTCTGGGACCGCAAGACTGGCAGCTGTCTACGTACTCTCAAGGGCCACCGAGGCCCAGTCAACGCTGTACAGCTTCGAGGCAACTTCCTCGTCTCTGCCAGCGGTGACGGTGTAGCCAAGCTGTGGAACCTCGAGACTGGTGTCTCAATCAAGGACTTTCCATCCGAAGACCGTGGCCTCGCTGCTGTCGAGTTCTCTGATGATGCCAAGTACGTACTCGCTGGAGGCAACGACCACGTTGTCTACAAGTTCGACGCGTCTACCGGCGAGCTTGTGCACAGCAGAGTTAAGCATGATGGCCTCGTTCGTTCGCTTTTCCTCGACGCCTTCAACGGACGCATTGTATCAGGTTCATATGACCAGAGTATCCAAGTCTCTGATTACGAAACCGGACAGACATATGCCGTATACAAGAACTGGACAACAAGCTGGATTCTATCTGCTAAGAGCGATTATAGGCGAGTTGTGGCTACGAGTCAAGATGGCCGAACACTGATCCTGGACTTTGGTCACAATGTGCCAGGATCCGAACTGCTCGTCGGATCCAAGTGAGACGTTTCCTGTTTGATCTGCACGTATGCGGTCAAGATCGTGTTTGGAGTCGAGGTCACCAACCACCTTGCCTATTACATCCCACTCACACGGCTCTTCCCGCCTTGCCTCTTTCTGCTCTATGAATCTATACGTATTATGACGTTGGCAGATGGCTTGTATGGGAGATGACGCTGGTCTTCAAGGGTTCCCCGTGACGAACTTGGTGGGTTTAACAACAAAAGTCGAGGATTGCTGGACCAAGAAAAGAAAGAGTGTTGCTTTTTTTTAGTTTGCGTATAGCATGCACATTATGGCGTTGTTCATCTACCTTGCAAAAACTTGCGGGGTGGATTCATATTCCCCCTTTTTTTTCTCGTTCTTCTTCTCTTAATCTTTTGTTTACCCACAATCATCATACTTTTGCATTATACTAACTTTATGCTTGCGGCTCACATTCTCTTTCTTGTATTCTGTTTTTAGCGGCTTCATAGATTTCCCATTCGCTCTTCTCCCTTTAATGCATTGCTTATCAAGTTTAGTCATGGCGAGCCGTTCCTTTTTATCTAGTTTATTTCGGGCATGGAGTGTGAGAGGTATATAGATGTGCAGATGATTGCAGGACGAGCGGGATTTGAAAATAATACGCTCTTTGATTCAGTATTACTTGTTATGAATTGTGCATTGCACCAATGTGAGATCGTGGATGTTATATTGTTGAGTATTATTGCCTAGGACTCTCTCTGCCTCAAACTCTAAGCATACATGTATGACGTTGACTCTGCACAATGAGCCTTCCCGTATATTCATGTTTTTTTTTCTGCTGTGTGCAGTTGAAGATTGTGCAACGCGTGGTCGCCATCTACCTCAAACGCACAAAAAGCAAAACAAACCAGCATCTCCCCTTATCGTTTTGTCTTACCTGCACGTACAACGCACAACCACAGCGTTGGCAAGCCCCACACCGACCATCATCGTCAGTACCTCACATTACATGCATGGCATGCAAACCCACACATTTGTTTCTACACCGTCTCCATGTACGGAGATGGAAATTAAAAAAAAAACTCTACACATGCGTTCCGTTGATACTAGTTGAACCCCCGATCAATCCGCAGAGAAAGTTAAGGAACTACTGGGTTGGTTGGTTCGTATGTGGTTCCCCCGGCTGCGACTCCACACACACACACACACAGAGACACGCGCGGTATAGTAATTCATCTTTTATCCCTAAAAATCTTATACTCGAGGTAATCCAAAGAGAAAAAAAACAAAAGCATGGCAGTTATACAGTAAACCAGACGCACACCGTCTGCGCATATGTGAACCTTTTACCCAACTCTGTTTGATGTATATACGTATTGGAAATGGAGGATGAAAAATCACGCATTTCTTCTCAAACGCGTTAAACGGTAGTAGTAGTAGTAGTAGTAGGAGGAAAAGCCCAACTTACAAATTCAATAATTATTTTCACGACAGCACACAACAAAAGTTTTCCTTCAGTTCTTCTTCTTCTTCTTTTTTGAATGCTAAATTCCACTCAACCACGCTCTCTCTCTCTCTCACACACACACACACCATCATAACTTCGATCACGACATCAACATGCGTTGTTACTATTTTAATTGACGTCGATGACACAAACTCAAAATCGAGATTCTAGACCACCCCCCCCCCCCATCAAGACTAAGACTGAATTTGGTAATGTGGCGGGACCGTTTCGGGCGTGAACTCGGTCGTTTATGCAAGATACCAGGGCACCCGAGGGGTGGGTATAGAGTTTACCGGGGTAAGGATCTTTTTTTTTTTAGTTTGGGAGGGAGGGTGGCGAGAGGCGAGATGGGGCGAAGATTAAAATTGAGGGGGGAGGGGGAAGCGGTGATGGGGTGGAGATGGATAGATAGAGGGGTGTGTGTGTGGATAGAGAGAAGGGGGGTGCGAGAGGAAGGAGGAGTGAGTATGGGGGGTGAAGCGTCTAGTTACTGTTTGTGATTTGCTTACTGCTGCGATGACGGCTGAGTGATGCGGATGCTAGGGAGAGAAGACAGAGAATTCTCGTGTTCGTCGAGTGATTGACGATAGCTGAGGAAGAAGAGCTCTAAGATCTCAGCATAGCTCTGATCGATATTAGTAGAGCTTTCTGACACTATGTACTTAGATCGCATTTCTTCTTTCAGAAAACCCCATTTGGATTAAACATAAAACATAGCCAAAGTCACAATAATCACGGCACGAAAAGAAATATTGAACCAAGTAAACCATACTTTTAAAGGCGTGACAGAGATTCTATTGATTACTTTGTATCAATTGAACCTCTAGTCTTCACCCCCTCAGATACCCTAACATGGTGCGAACCCATATTCACACGACTACTTATCCATCCATCAAAGGACGGTCCCCCCAGAAGGATAATAAGTACACACACACATACCTATGTATGTAGGGCCAGTTTTAAACAAAAAAAAAGCGAGGCGTAGAACCGGAGCAGTGTTTGCTCAGCTTGAACAACGCCAAAAGGGTATGGAAACAACCACATTTCGCTCCTGAGCCCGAGGCTCAAAAGCGATAGTCGTCAGAGAATGGAATACGCCGAACAAGACAAAACACACATTCAAAGTAAATGGGAACAGAAGCGTAGTTTAAAGAAACAAAAAAAAGACAAGACATTATCTTTATCGGGCCAAACCAGCATGAGGCGACCGGATTAGGGACAGTATGAGGGTGAGTGAATAAGGCCATTGTCCGACAAAAATCCAAGGGGTATAACTGAGACCAGATGGCCGACCCAAAACCAGCTGTGAGGTGCTGGTAGGCAAGCCCAAAAAAACCAAAAAGTATGTGCATTTTCATGCGTGTCGTGAATAAAGTATAAACAAAGAGTAAACAGAGAAGCAAAGGCTAGCAGGTCGTTCAAACATTCTCGGTGAATTTGCTTGAGCGCGACCCGTCGGCCGAGGGCAAGCTTCTTCCGAGCGTACCTCTAGGAGGCAGTTCGCCGACAGGAGAATGTGGCGGACTGAGGTGGTGACGATCTGCAAAAGGATTGCCATCGTCGGGATGGCGGATGATGGGTGTTCTTGCAGGGCTGGGTCGAAAGTTCATCTGTCCTGATTCGCGTGGGGCAGAACTCTCGCCAATCTCCTTACCCATCTCTTTAGACAGACCTGTGCCGCCATAGAGACCATGATCGTCTTGGTAGAATGATGAACCGGACATTGTGCCTCCGCGAGAGAATTGATCAGACGTCATGCCTTCACTGAAGGCAGATGGCAACTTGCGACCCGACACTCGTTGAAAGCTCCGCTCACCAGCGCTCGTGCTAGTCTCGGCCGTCTTGCCAGACATACCAGAAAAGCGTTTGAGGAAGGCGATAGGGACAAGGGTGTTGCTTGGGGCAGGCGCCTGGGTCATGGACCGGTTGCTTTCCTGGTGATGATCGTCGCCAGTGAGCTGTAGAGCACCGCCTCGCTTCTGCTTGTGGCGTTTCAAAAGAAACAATATCAAGGCCAAGATGAGGGCAACTCCGGCAAGACTCCCTAAAACGCTACCAACGACTTTGGGCGTTTCAAGAGCACTAGGGCTGGAGTTGGTATCGGCGGTCGACGTAGCTGATGTAGTTGGAGCAGGGGCTCCTGCGGTGCCAGGCGCATTACCACCCCAGCCGCCATAATTCGCGGTTGTAGTCGGGACACTCGAGGCAGTTGGGGCACTCGAAGCAGAGGCAACGCTGCGAGCCGACTGTGAGCTGATTATTGCCTGTGTGAGTGACGTCCTGGTGGAAGCAGCAAGAGACTGTGAAGCAGACGGTGAGCGAGTTGGGACGGCATTGACTGATACAGCAAGGTCTGTTGCGGACGAGGCCGAGATACTATCAAAGGAGGCCAAGATAGAAGACGACAACAGTGATGAGGTGGCTGTCAGAGTTAGTGGAGAACAAATGTGGAAATACGGCATGCTTACATGATAGGGTCGTGTTGGCAGCCGAGTTGATAGTAGAGGGGAGAGATGGCGCTGCAGTGCTTTGAATTGAGGATGATGTTGAAGCACTCGAAGTAGATGTAACCACGGGTTGAGCGACATAGTTCAGCGATGGAAAAGGATACGCTGGGACAGTTGGGACGACCAGGTCGGTGGGAAACGGTGGTACTGCTGGTACAGACGGGAGGACAGGAACAGGTACAGATGGCACTGCAGGAACAGCGACAGATGGTACCGCAGGAACAGCGACAGCCGCCAGCGCTGGAGCAGACAGAGTTGGCAGTGTAGGAACAACCACAGAAGATGTTACAAGAGTGGATACAGCTGGCAGTGCAGGGTCGGGTACGGGTGCCGCAATCGCAGGATTAGGCACAGGCAGTGCTTTATCAGGCAATGCAGTGTCGGGTATGGGCAGCGCAGTATCGGGTATTGGCAGCGCGGTATCAGGTACAGCTGGTAGTACGGGAACAGCTACAGAGGAGGGCACGGCAGGAGCCACCGATGGTAGCGCAGGAGCAGGCACAGGCACAGGTGGCTGCGCAGGAATGGGCAGCGCAGGAACGTCGGGTACAGCAAGCGCAGCCGAAGGAAGCGCCAGCTGAACTGGCTGAGCGACTGGCGCCGCAGAAGCCATGGCGGCGACGGCGGTAGCGACTACATCTGGCAAAGATGGTGGTGGGACAGGTGGTAGCGTCTCCTGGGCGATGACATTGCCAGCTTCGTCGACTGTAGCAAGGACCGTGACGATTTCAACATTGTCCAGCACAGCGCGACGGTGGAAGAAGCGATGGCCTCTGCTCATAATCTCTCTGCTTCTGGGTGCTGCGCCAAGTCCTGGGGGAAGGAATTGGTCGTGTGGTTGAGGGTGGTCGGGTGCAGGAAGCCTTTGCTGGGGAGCCTGTCGGGCTTGATAACGGTGGCGCGAATGAATTCTCGATACGAGGGTGGGGTTGGCAGGACCGTCCATAAAGTCGCGACAATGTGACCAAAGCTAGAGGGCCAGGGCCAACGGAGCAGGCGTGGTGGTGTTGGTGGTGATGGAGGTGAGTCGGGTGTATTGGCGGAACATATGTTGTTGTTTTTCAATGTTTCTGATGTTTTCAATGTTTCCGGCAGGTAAGGAGCATAGCAAAGTCGAAAAGTCCGGAATTAGAGCAGACGAGGCAAGGGATCCAGTCAATGGAGGCCGATGGCAAGCACAAGCGAGTGAATGGCGAGAAAGGAGCGGAAGCCTGGTCAGCGGCGGAGCAATGGGTCTGGCGGGCTGGAGGTCAGTGTTGTGGGCGAGGCGAGGTGACAAGCAGCCGAATTGGGCATATACACACGCGCAAAGGGGAGACTTCAAGGTGACAGCATGGAAGCGACAACGGGCAAAGGAGTGTCGGGCGTGAAGGGTGTCGCGCAAACACGAGGGCGTTCTGGGAATCAGGTGGATGGGAGAGGGAGGAGGCGGAGGCGGAGGCGGCAGCAAAGGGATTGTTGGCGTCTGCAATCGGCGACGGGAACGGGCCCTCTGTGGGCATGGGAGAGGGAGACAAAGAGAGGGAGACTGAGGCAGCGCGAGGCAGCGCGAGGCAGCGAGCACGAGACATGGGGACAGGGCTGGCAAGGCTGATTGGCGCACAAGCGAGATAACACGTCCAGGAATAGCAGGATCCGCCCCCGGCACGGCCATGGACGCGACTGCCCGTCAGCGAACCAGCGTCCCAATACCGATGCTGCTATGAATGTGCGTCCGTGGATGGATGGCCGGTATAATAACATGGACGTTGTACGCAATAGGTCCCAGGCAATGAATCTTCTTCTTCTCCTTCTTCGTATCAATCACATTGGAGAATAACATCATCGCGCGTCCCACGGTAACTCGTCGCCCGTCGTCTGGCCGGTTGGCTGGCTGGCTGGATGCATGCTCCTCCTACTGCTGCTACTACTACTAGCAGCCACCACCCGTCCCGTCTGCAGGTGCAGTAGTGGCGCCCACGCCGTCGCTCAGGAACCCCATTCCCAAACACTGGACAAGCAGACCCGCAAACGCTTGAGGTTATTCTTAGCTGCCGCCTTACTGATTGTCTTGTCGCACCTAACCACTCCCGACTAACTGCTTTGCTCTCTACACGACTCGTCCCACACGTCCTTTTATTGCCAAGCCGCGTTTGTCTCCCGCCCATCGTAAAGGCAACCCCCCAAAGGCCCGTCTCGCCAGCATGCATATCCTCGTCCTCGTCCTCGTCCTCGTCGTCATCACGACGCTTGTCGCCGCTCTTGCTGTCCATATGCACGAGCGTTGCCTGTCTTGGCTCCAATCTCCGCCGCTCATCGCCTCCACCATTAATACGGTATGGCTGCTAATCATTGCCTGCTATAGCACTCGTCGTGTACATTTTTTGATGACGGCCTATGCCTGCAATGACAACTCTTTTCCCCTCGTCCACCACGCCATGCCCAGGTACACATGTTTACCTGCAATGCCACGGCCTCAACAATTGTTTCATCACGTGACTGTCCGGATGCTGCAGTCAGCTCCTGCCAGGCCAAGCCACCTGCCTGTACTGTAGCCTGTCACCTTTCGCTGCTGCCCTGCTGCCCTGCTGCTACCCCACATTGCCCCTCTGCCGTGTCCTCCGCCTTGCTGCGCCTTGTACCAGGCCATGTATAACATCATCGCAAACATCATTGCAATCCCAGAAACCGTTGTTCTTGTCCATACTGCAATATCCACATGTAGTCACAGTTGCTGCAGCCGCAAGCCACTGCCGCTGCAACTCTAGTTCGCCCAGCCATGACGTCGCCTTCGCCGTTTCCTGCCTTGGCCCCCCCAGAGCACCACCATACGCGCCCACCACCACTGCCACCGCGACATTCATCTTCAGCTGAAGACGCGCCCCCTCCTTATTCAGCAATGTCTGCCTCCATGTCCATGTCCTCAAAAGATCCACGCTCTTCGTCTACCCAGTCCCTCGTTCCAGACCCCGCCCTCGAAGACTCTGGCCGCCGCCGCCTACTCCTCATCTACATCCATGGCTTCATGGGCGATGAAACAAGTTTTAGAAGCTTCCCTGCCCACGTCCATAATCTTGTCACCGTCACTCTCGCAGACTCCCACGTAGTACATACAAAAGTATACCCCCGCTACAAGTCACGGGACTCGCTGCAAGTCGCCAGAGACAACTTTTCAGCTTGGTACGCTATACGCCTGCGCGGCTTGCACCCTGCTAACAGCCGCCAGGCTCGCCCCTCATGAAGACCCCTGGACCGACATCATCCTGGTCGGTCACTCCATGGGCGGTTTGCTTGCCGCAGACATTGCTTTAGCCTTTCGTCATCGCATCATTGGAGTCGTAAACTTTGATGTCCCCTTTCTAGGCATGCACCCTGGCATTATCAAGGCTGGCCTAGGCAGCCTTTTCAACGCACCCCCACCCCCACAAGATGCTATTATCGAGAACTCCAGTCCGGGACAGAGGCCTAGTCGAATCAACACACTCTTCAACCCCAAGCCAAATGATCCAAATTACAACCCCAGTTTCGCTAACGATATTCACCTACCAAACAGAAAAGGCTGGGAAAATAGTTTACACTGGCTCACCAAGCACTACAAGGACGGCCTGGCCGAGGCTACCAAAGGACTCGTAAAATCCCATCTTGAATTCGGGGGTGCCATGGCGGATTACAAAGAATTAAAAGAAAGATATGCGAGGATACGGGCGCTGGAAGAAGACGACGAGGCCAAGAGGAAGAACAGTCATCCTATGATGCCCTCGGTACCCCGCGTGCGCTTCATCAACTACTACACAGTAAGCACGGGAAGGGCCAAGAAGCAAAGTTCTTCATGTGCCCAGCGTCCAAAGTCGCCCGAGCCTTCGCATCCATCGAGCCTTCAGTTTCATCATCAAGATAGCGGAACGAGTCTCTCACACTACACCTCGACACCTGCCAACCAGCAGAAGAGTACTAGAAGCCCTTCAGTAACATCGTCTGACCCAGAACTGGCTCACGTACACCCGGACCCTATAGCAAGTTCACCCCCGGCATCTATCGGGGGTCAAGAAGATGGACAAGCCCTGGAGCTCAATCACTCAGATGCCCCCAAAAACGGCCCGCCTGATCTTCCTGAAATACCACCCATCCCCCAGGAGCCTCCATTTGTTGACTTGGTACGATTCAACGACAAGACCCAGCGCAAAGCCGCAGAAAAGGAGTACGAACAGGCGCTCAAGGAATACCAAAGAGCTGTAAAAGCGCGCAACAAGATCATCAACGAGCGCACTAAGCTTGAGGAAAAGTGGGAAAAAGAGCAGCAAAAGGCGGAGAAGAAGCGGCAGCAAGAACAAGAGAAAAGGTACAGGGAGCAAGAAAAGGCCGAGCAAAAGAAGCATGAAGAAGAGCAAAACATGTCAAGGGAGGAGAGGCAGAGACAGAAGGAAAGAGAGCAAAGGCAAGCTGAGGCTGAGCAGAGAGAAAAGGAGGCGAGACAAAGACAGAGAGAAGCAGATTTGCGCCAGGGAATAACACCTGCGCCAGAAACACCAGAGGCTGTTCCTGCGATTATAGGGATTGAGGAAGATGTCAGTGCCTTGCACCTGGACCAACCCGGTCCGCAGCGAGGCCCGTATGGTCACTATGAATTTTCCACTAGTCGCATCATGAACCAGGCTCCGCCAGACAGTCGTAACGAATCGATGTATACCCTCTCTACAACCGACAGTCACGACAGTCACCCGCCACGCACGGATTCAGACGCAAGTGTCCCAGCCAAACCTAAGAAGCTAAAGAAATTTTGCATGTTGCCGCCAAAAGACTCGGACGGCAACAAGGATCCTACCTGGGTTCCTGTCTTCATGGAGAATATGGACGAAGTCACGGCACACACGTCTCTCTTCTTCCTCAACGAGACGTATGAGCGGCTTGTTGGTGAAGCAGGTGCGAGAATCGAAGAGTGGGTGCGAGAAGCCGATACTATGCGTTTGATACAGGATCTGCAGTATCAGGGGAAATCGTAGCTTGCGTTTTGTTTATCAGGTAAAGTAATTAGATACCCTAGTCATATCATCATAATCTAATCCTACATCCGCCCAATCTATTACCATTACTCTTGTAAAAGACATTAATGAATAGTCGATCAATCACCATCGTCATTGTCATCGTCATCATCATCATAAAGTCATTAACCCTTCCACCCCATCTCCCCCGCTATGCCCCAAACCCTAGCTCCCACCGCCGCCGCCCATATTGCCAACCCCATCACCCCATCACCCATGCCAACCACCCACATCCCCGCCGCAACACCCCAACCCAACCCCAAAGTCCCCAACAGCAAAACCACCTTCTCACTCCCCCTAATCGCTTCGTTAAAGTCCGAAGCCAGTGGAATACGCGTCTGTTCCTTCTCATTCCAAAATCCCGCCATGTGCGCATACGCTGCCGCACATATCACCGTATTCACCCCCGCCGTCACAACCTCCCGACTACCACTCGGACTTGCCAATAGATAGAGTGAGCTAGCGAGTGAAATTACCGTCTTTTTTTCCATGCACATGATTAACCAGGCTGCTTTCGATGGAAAGAAAGAAGGAAGAAGGGAGATGGAGAAGGAGGGAAACATACAGCGACAACCCCACTCGCCTGTGTAACTTGCGTCTTACGCAGTTTCTGTGCTGCAGTGTCGGAATACCGTGCTGCGGTCCGACTGGCGTCTTCGTAGCGTCTCAAGCGGGAGATTGTGGGGATGATGTGGGAGAGGGTGGTGAGGGTTAGGAGGAGGGTTGTTAGGGGGAGGGTGGTGGAGAGCATGGTTGGCTGGGTTGGGATCTGAGTTGAATGGAGAGTTTTGTATAGAGAAGGGGGATGGGGATGGGGGGAGATGGAGGTGGTGGTGGTGGTGGTGGTGGAAGAGGGAAGGGAGAGGTGACGTCATTTAGAGAGACGAAGATGGAACTAGGTATGGCTAACTTTTTGACAAAGGAGGGCGCTAGTAGATGCTCGTGACTGTGGAAGTGCTTTTAAGAAAATTGATGGAATTTGTAGAAGGGGGGACAGGGATAGGTTAGTGAAAGTATGTATATGTGTATGTGACGACGGTTGATGGAGAGGATGCAGTAGTACTGTAATTTCGAGACCCCTGGTTGTTTTTCTATACGAATAGCTAACGATTCGAGTGTTCTTAGTCCTGGGGCCATTTACGGATAGGTTACGCTACGAATGTTACAGAGACGGGGTTTTATTTACTTTTGACCAGTAGAGGTTCCTTTATAATGGGACCGATGATATTCGGAGGTATTTTCGCAAGCATTGTTCACCCACCCTGCACGATGCCACGGCCGATCCAAGGACCGACCGGCTCAAGTCCCGCCTGCGGCCCGTTGGCCAAAAAAGATCGCCGTCGCAGCAATCACATGCCATGGGGTCCTAATTGGCCACAATTGGGTTGAGCAATATTATTACGCTATGATGCGTTGGAGACGGACGAGCTATGGCCGCCAAGGGGAGGTCGATATGCATGTTGAATGCGCGCACGCAGGGCAGTGGGTCTGGCCTGCTCAACCACCATCCAACTGAACCACACAACGGTGACGGATCATTTGCATGGTAAATTACTCGCACCATGTGTGTTACTGCTTACGGGTTGGACAGAATGACTGGCGTCTTCAACGGAAGACTTGACGCCTGCAATGGGTTAGCGACGAGCTTTGTACCGTGTATTGAAGGCGGCACCCCCTCCAGTCCGTGGGGAGCTTACAACCCCCCCCCCCCCCCGCGGTTCATCGTCCTTTTGCCCATTGGCTGCAGCCCCACAGACTCTCTACCCACGCTCTCGCCGACGCGTTTGCGGGCGGTTTTGCGGTTAGATGAGGCATGTTTCTTTGAGTGACTGTGCATAGTGGGCTGTCACTTGTCTTTGCTCGAGAATTCCAACAGCCTTCTTTCTTTTTCACAATGGCTCAGAGAATGCTTCTTCGTGCAAGTGGCCCACGCCGAGTCTACTATGGCTTCACCCGCTCTTTTAGTACTGTTCTCGACACGCCTGTAGATCCGGGCACGCAGCAAATACGCCTGGCGACACCGCGGACGACGGTGTTTGAGAATGCACTCAATGCAAAGGCACCGCGGACAAATTGGACAAAGGAGGAGATTTCAGAGATATACAACACTTCGCTGATTGACCTTACCTATGCTTCGGTAGGTCAAATTGCTCTCTTATCCAGCGATATGCCCCTCTCATCAATCTCGTAGGCCTCGGTCCACCGCCGATTCCATGACCCCGCTGCCATTCAGATGTGTACCCTCTTCAACATCAAGACGGGCGGCTGCAGTGAAGACTGTTCCTACTGCGCCCAGTCATCTCGCTACGACACCGGTCTCAAAGCCACAAAGCTCAGCTCTGTCGAATCCGTCCTCGAAGCTGCACGCATAGCTAAAGAAAACGGCAGCTCGAGATTCTGCATGGGCGCCGCGTGGAGAGACATGAGGGGTCGTAAGACGAACCTCAAGAACATCAAAGAAATGATCAAGGGCGTGCGCGGCATGGGCATGGAGGCATGCGTGACCCTTGGCATGGTCGATGCTGCTCAAGCAAAGGAACTGAAAGATGCGGGCTTGACGGCTTACAATCACAATGTCGATACGAGCCGCGAGCACTACCCTAGCGTCATCACCACACGTACGTACGACGAGCGACTCAACACCATCAAGAATGTCCAGGAAGCAGGTATTCACGTGTGCACCGGCGGTATTCTTGGTCTGGGGGAAAAAGCCCGTGACCACGTCGGTCTCATCCACACTGTAGCTACACTACCCGCCCATCCAGAGTCCTTCCCCGTCAACGCCCTTGTCCCCATCAAAGGCACCCCACTAGGAGAAACCCAAGCCATCTCCTTTGATGCCATCCTCAGAACCATTGCTACTGCACGACTCGTGCTTCCCACCACCATCATCCGTCTCGCAGCCGGCCGCCACACCATGCGTGAGGAAAAACAGATTCTGTGCTTCCAGGCTGGTGCAAACGCCGTGTTCACTGGCGAGAAGATGCTCACAACGGCGTGTAATGGGTGGGAAGAAGACAAGGCTATGTTTCAGAGGTGGGGGCTTAGGCCAATGAAGATGGAGGAGACGATTGGGGAGAAGAGAAAGGTGCCGGGGCAGGAGGAGGCCGAGGCGGTTGTTGCGGCGGCGGAGGCGGAGGCGACGGTGCAGGCACTTGCTTGAGGGGGGGAGAGGTAGATGTAGTGCTTAGGCTCTGTGATGATGAGCTCTTCAATGTGCTACTGAAGCCGAATCTATGTCTTGTAACTTGTATATAATGATCAAGATATGCCTCGTGCGTTTACAGTCTTGCTCTCTTTGATGTATCAAGGGGTTGGTGTTCCGTATTCTCTTCTGCTTGACTTTCACACCACCTCTTGAGCGCCAGCACCAGTTTTTCGATCTCTTCCATGGTATTCCCGGCATGCAGGCATATTCGGACTCTTTCTGTACCGGCGGGTACGGTCGGTGACACGACTGCTCGCACCATCATGCCTTGCTCTTGCAGTGAGCTCGCAAGTGCCTTTGGGTTCACCAACTGCACTGCAAAGATAGGCGATCTAGGACACACCGACGGAATCTTCAGTAAGCAGCGCGCATGGCTCGAGGTTTTCAGAAGTCCCTCAAGCTTCGCATACAGCGTCCGAATGAGGTCATGAAGCTTCGCCTGCAGCGCCTCGCTCTGCCCCGACTGCAGCATTTCGTACGACGCCTGTATAAGCGCCAGCGACGGATACGAAAGGAACGTCGTGTAAATAAGAGGCCGCGCATAATTAATCAGATAACTCCGTAAAGTATGGGATCCTAGAAGAATAGCTACAGTCACATTCAGCAATGCCCTCTGCAACCTCCCCTTTGGATTCCTCCAAACGAACTCACCTCCATTCCCCGCCAACGCCTTGCCAAACGTATGCAACCGCGCAAACACCCTCTCCTCTAGTCCCAACTCACACACCAACCCGCGTCCCCTCGGCCCCAGCACCCCCGTCGCATGCGCCTCATCAACAACCACGTACGCCCTCTCCCTCCCCAGCACCTCCTCCGCGACCTCCACAATCTCGCGTAGCGGCGCAACATCGCCATCCATACTATACACCGACTCCACCGCTATAAAAACATTCTGTTTCCCCCCCTTCTCTCGCTCCGCCTCTAGCACTTTCCTCAGCGCCTCCACCGAGTTGTGTTGAAAAGGTAGTCTACGGGCAGCCCGCGAAAGTCTCATCCCATCATGCACACTCGCATGCACCTTGTCGTCATACACGACCGTATCACCTCTCTGCGGCACCGACGCAAAGAACCCCGCGTTGGCGTCGAATCCGCTGTTGAAAAGTAATCCGGCGGCTGCGCCGTGGAAGGCCGCGATGCTGGTTTCGAGGCTTATGGCGAGGATGGAGTTGCCGTCGAGGAGGCGCGAACCTCCGCTGCCCAAGGGGTGCGGGGAGAGGTGGGTCAGGAAGAGGGTGCGGAGGTGTGGAGAGGTGGAGAGGGAGAGGAAGTCGTTGGAGGAGAAGTCGGTGTGGGCGGTGGGAGGCAGGGTGAGGGTGCGGAGGGTGGAGTTGGCGAGGCGGGTGGTTAGGTGGGTGGTGAGGGTTTGTTCTAAAGGGGTTGGGGGTGACTTTGTCATTTTTTTTTGAATTCCCCCTCTTTTTTTGTTTAGGGTTCTTTTATGGGTGTGGAAGTGAATTGGATTTTGTGGGGTTGGGACGGAGGTGGATTAAACAATCCTACTTGTTCTTCTTTCTTGTGCTCTTTTTGGGGAGACGCGCTGAAAGCAATTGAGCAATTGACACTGGGGATACCGGTCGTGTGGGGTCTGGGAGTGCTAGACAAAAACAAATCTTCTTTCTTGTGCCCTTTCTGGGGGGGAGAGACGCCGGCCTGGTAAGCAATTGAATAATTGACAATATGGGTTACCGCAAGCGTGGGGGGGATGTTTATTTCTTTGAGCCGCGAATTTCCGTTGAAAGAGGGAAATCGACAAACGTATCCCAGCGCCCATTTTTCATGTGCTTCGGGGCGGACTTTCTAGTCATCAATTAGCTCCAAAAAGGGTAACTTTGGGTAAATATGTACAGTCCACTTGCATACTAACGTGCATATGCGGGTGCGGGTGGATTTTTGTTTGATTTGACTAATTCGATTTGTACTACAGGTAGTACCTGACTGGGGTTGGGGGGACGGGCGGCGGGTTCGGTTCGGAGGGAACAAAAGTTACCCCCCCTTCCAACATTGGCCTGGCTACTATTACGTTAATTAACTAGCGCAGCAGCTCTCTCCATTCTTTCCCCGCTGCAATTGAGTCTTTTTTCTCCTGATATGAGAGATCTCATGTGCAATTGGGTGTCTTGATTATATTTCTTTTTTTTTGGTTGTGGTTGCTGAGAAAGAGTAAGGATGGCTAGAGTTCCAGGCGGACTGTGGAAGAGACTTGTTGCGGTGCAGGTCTATGGGGCTAACACGGGAGTTGGGAAGACGGTGTTTTCGACGTTGCTTGGTGCGCATTTTGCGAGGAGAGCGGGTAGGACGAGGTGGAGGGTGCAGTATATTAAGCCTGTTTCTACGGGGCCGGCGGATGAAGCTGATGATAGGTGAGATTGTTACTGCTTCGAACTGCAATTGTGGCTGATGGGGATTAGTTATGTGCAAAAGTACAGCGGAAGAAGTGTTTCGACACTGTTCAAGTTCAATGAGGCTGTTAGTCCACATGTGGCGGCAAGAGGTGCAGACTTGATTGTAAGGTCTTTTTGCTGAGTCTGCTGGCTGCTCTTGCTGATCGGCCTAGCCTAGCGATGAGCTCATCGGCCAGACTGTCTTCAGAACTATCCAGCAGGAAGCGAAAGAAGTCTCTGGGGAGGCACATGCAATGGGCTTTGCTGTGATTGAAACCGCTGGGGGTGTGCTCAGCCCGGGACCTTCAGGTACTCCGCAAGCTGACATCTTCCGTCCGTTACGACTCCCCTCGGTACTAGTCGGCGACCACCGCCTAGGCGGTATTGCATCGACAGTATCTGCTGCAGAGTCTCTGGTATTAAGAGGCTATGACATTGATGCCGTCGTGTGTTTCAACGACCAGAGTAAGTATGAGAATGCCGAGTACCTACAAGAGTACTTCAAGAACTTGGGCATTGCGGCCTTCACCTTGCCATGGATTCCGAATATGCAGGGTATAGGGGCGGGCACAAAGGAGGAGACGGATTTGATGCAGGGCTACTACAGCTCCCAGAGTGGCGAGGAGCCCATTGACCAAGTTGCTACGAGGCTGCTCAGTCGCCACAGCGAACGACTCGAAAATCTAAGTACTATGGCCTCGCGGACTAATGAAGCCATCTGGCATCCCTTTACACAACACAAGCACTTGAAAAGTGCCGACGATATATTAGTCTTTGACTCTGCATACGGCGATTACTTCCAAGTCAAGCAGACTGGTGAAACGTCAGCAGCCCACGAGGACCGTTCGGCGCTGTATCCGGCATTTGATGGCTCCGCTTCATGGTGGACTCAGGGGCTCGGCCATGGAAATCCCCGTCTTGCTCTAGAAGCAGCACATGCCGCAGGAAGATATGGTCATGTCATGTTTGCCGGAGCCACCCACGAGCCCGCTCTCGAGCTGGCAGAAAAGATGCTAAAAGACTCCCAAAATCCGCGCCTTAAAAAGGTGTTTTACACTGACAATGGGAGTACGGCGACTGAAGTCGGTATCAAAATGGCACTTCGGGCGGCTAGCAAGTACTACGAGTGGGACAGCACTAAAGAGAATATTGGCGTCATCGGCCTCAAAGGGAGCTACCACGGCGACACGATTGGCGCCATGGACGCATCCGAGCCGTGTGTCTTCAACGAAAAAGTAGACTGGTACCGCGGCAGAGGCTTCTGGTTCGATTTCCCTACTTTCAAACTCAAGAACGGCCAGTGGATTGTCGAGCCCCCCGAGAATCTGGAGACCGAATTCGGACCTACGCAGTGTTTTGAAACACAAGATGCCATTTTCGATTTGGCCGCGAGAGGCCGGTCTGACTGCTATGAAGCTTATATCGAGAAGACGTTGGATGAGCTGGTGAGGAAGCAGGAGAGAAAGTTTGGGGCGTTGGTTATGGAACCTGTTGTTTTGGGAGCGGGAGGTATGCTGTTTGTTGATCCGCTCTTCCAACAAACTCTTGTCCGTGTCGTGCGCCGTTACGACTTTAGCAACGGGTCCCGAGTTCACCAAGTTCCAGATGAGAGCGATGTCACTTGGTCAGGACTACCCGTTATGTTCGATGAGGTATTCACTGGTTTGTATCGTCTAGGTCGCTTTTCAGCCGCCTCGTTCCTCCAGACGCATCCCGATATCAGCGTCAACGCGAAGTTACTTACCGGTGGTCTTCTTCCTCTCTCTGTTACGTTGGCTAGTCAGTCTATTTTTGACGCTTTTTGGGGCGACGAAAAGGCAGAGGCTTTATTGCATGGACATAGCTACACTGCACATGCGGTTGGATGTCATGTCGCTAATACTAGTCTGCAAACAATGCAGGACGCGAGCGTTGGCGAAGAGTGGAAGCAGTACAAGGAGCAATGGAGCAGTTCTAGCAACGACACCACCGCTTCCTGGAGCATGTGGTCCAAGGACTTTGTTGAGGATCTATCTCGACACGAGCAAGTTGGTCATGTGAGTGCGCTGGGCTCCGTTCTTGCCGTGTCGCTCGTCGATAGACACGGGTCAGGTACGTCTTACGTTGGGTTTATTTTACTTCCCGCCTAATGCAATATAGGATACACTTCTTCTGCTGCGGTGGGACTTCGCGACGAGCTCCTACGGGGTAGCCCTGAAGCGCCGCAAGTCCAGATTCATTCGCGTATCTTGGGTAACGTCATCTACCTCATGGCCGGTATGCTGACCACAAGACGGCATTTGGAAGATGTTGAGAAGGCTTTTATAGAAAAGTTGCGTGTAAGTAGACGGTAGGGAGGACCATTCAGGTATGCCCACTCGCAAACTTGGGTCTCATGTTGTGTTCTTTGATGAGAGTTATGCCAGAGAAAACAAGTGAATTCGAGAATACAAACTGGAGAATGCCGTTTCCACCGACAAGACGTCTGAAGACGCCATTTTCGTGTAGATTCTGAGACTATGTTTAACAAAACATAAGTCGGCGTTCTAAATCTCGAGCTGACTGTATTGGTCATCTCTATTTCATATTCCACTCGTTATAGGTCTTCGATTCTCACGCCACTTCAGTATAATAACAATCTTCACAACACGAGGAATCGCCATCAGGTACTATACATAGTCACACGAACGTGACCTCGTTTCATGTTCGTGATAGCAACACCTACAGCAACTACCGGCATGAAATGCAATCAAAAGCAAACTTGTCAAAGTGGGTCTCTGACTACACTGACGTACTCACCATCAAGACTCGTTGCCAATCGACACCAAACATCGCACTCTTGTGCATACTCCAACGCTCCGCAAACGTACCGGCCACCAATCCCACCATCGTACTGCTTACTCTCGTCGCCCCCCGGCCAATTACTAAATTTAGTTGCCGGCTTCTACATACACAACAGCCTGCATCCCCATATCATACTCTTCCAACGGCATTATACAAACTCTAACGAGATTATGAGCCCCTCAAAGCCCCTCAAGTCCCACATATTCCCCGCGTGGATAGCAAAAACGTGCCTGCACCTTAGCTTATTCTTGTAGCTAAGCTTATGTCATACAGCAAACCTTTTTTCGTCTTAGCTCGATCGCAGCACTGTCGATGTTGAGGTACAGGGAACGCTTCCCGTCTTACTACCGGTGATCTTTGCCAAAAGACATATGACACTGGTTTTCTTCGATGGCGATTGTTTTCGCTACGTAAACAAAGTTTGATGCGTTTGCATTAGCTTGAGAACGTCCAAAGTTCGGAATGCGCCGGTGTCTGCGTGAGCTATTTCTAGGTTGTATCAACAGTACAGTAGAGGAGCAGTGGCGAATATTCACTCACAACATAGAGATGTGTAGTAGTTGAGACGAGCATAGGTATACATGATGAAATTGCGAAATCACAAGAAACATGATACATTTCATACTAAGTCGCTTGGAAGTATAACGTGAAGTTCCCTTCATGACGATCGTTGCGGCTCTACACGGTACTATACCCATTATGGGCTTACATCCCGATATCAAGTGAACATATTGTCACTGCTGTACGGTATGACTGGATTGAGTTTCGCATTACACTCCTGGTCGAGGATGGGTAGCACCGGATACGAACTCTAGCAACAGTCGAGTCTAGTATGACGAGTCCTCTTGTTAGCATTGTTTGTTGGGCAACCGAGCTTAGCAAAGGAGCAGAGAAAAAGGTATATAAGGGATGAAGGAACAACAGTGTAGAGACTCATCATCAACTAGTCTTCCAAAGTCACTTGCACAAAGTACACACTTCTCTTCAACATGCGCTTCACCACCCCCCTCTTCACTCTCGCTGCCTGCGCGAGCGCCGCCGCCATGCCCAACCCAGAGGTGGTTGCCGAGCGCGCTGCACTTGCTGAGCGTGACCCCGTAGCCTTCTGGGACTTCGATTTCGTTCGTTCCTACTTTAAGGGCGGCTTTGTCGAGACCGTTAGCGCCAAGTTTGTTTCCGACAAGTACCCTGAACCCAAAGGCTTCAGGTCCAGTTGCAAAACGACATATTATGATGGCTCAGGACCATTCAACCCCGACTGCACGCCCGGTTATTTCCATTACTTCTTCGATCTGGCCCATTCAGGTAAGTCACTCCTATTTCTCTTCTATAAGTTAAAAGAGAAATATATATATGCAGCTACTGACACATTGGGAAACAGACCTTACTGTTCAGCAGCGCGTTTCGCAGCCCGACGAGTTGATTATCAAGGGTGAAGCCACCTTTTCGCCTAATCACAAGGACAACACCCTAGTTGGCAGTATTCATATTCCTGTCACGGCCCAGTACCCTGCTCCTTACAAGCCCCCGAACTAAGATAGCAGCAGCCAGATTTCTGGACGTGAGGCGTACGGCTCGCGCAGCCGCTCGAGACTCTGCTTGCTGGTATGCATTCTTGAAGCATTCCAGGCCCATTACTTCTTGTATATAGGAATATCTTAATCACATGAATGGTGCGGTTGCCCAGCTTTGCTCTGCTTGTTGGTACGGATTGCAAGCGGACACAAATGCTATAGTTGGTGTGAATACAAGCCTAACTTTTTGAATATTCTCTTGCAATCATTCTTGTTCGTTCTTGCTAATATGAAACATGTTTTTGGGGCTGTATATTCTTACATGTTTACACTCAAACAGCTGTTAAGCAGACCCACCTAACTCACTTCGTTTCATGAGGGCGAATGACAAGCTTTTTACCAGATACTCCGCTCTTGCTCAAAGAAAAGGCCTCCTCAAGTCCGGCAAGCCCTCCAGGCACCAATTGCGGCCGGTTCGGAGTAAACAACCCCTGCGCAATGTACCCATTGGGTCCGCCCAGAGATTTGGCAAGAGGCTCACTCAAATGCCGTAGGTCTGGCGAACTTCCCAACCCCATAATACCCTTGACTTCAATGTGAGGCTCTTCACTCTGACCTAGTGTCTTGGCTTCAGCGTCGGGGGATTGGACGGTGACTACATGACCTCCAGATACCTTTGCCTTCTGGAGAACCTGTACCGCAAGCTTCTGTGTAGCGGGGGCGGAAATTGCATCGAAGATAAAGTCGAAGGGGAGTCCTCCCGCTGCTTCGAAAACAGCATCAGGAGTGGACTCAGAACGATCCAAAACGACGTGGGCGCCAATCTTTTTGAGAAACTCGTGGTTGCTGGCACTGGCATTTGTGACGATACGCTCGAAGCCTGATAGGCGAGCCATTTGGATGGCATATTGTCCTACAGAAGATGCACCGCCGATGATGATTATGGACTTTCCCTTTCCAACATTTCGACCTCCTTCCTGCCATGGTGGTGTCATGCCGTGCCCTGTTTGGGCGTAAAAGCCAGTCGTAACAGCTATGGTTGCCAGCATGATGCCTGCGGCTTCGTCATCGCTGATGTTGTCGGGTGTCTTTGACACTAGCTCAGCGGGCATCTTGCAATACTGCTGGAAGGTTGATGATTCGTAGTTTCCAATGATACCCTGGAAGAACACACGCTCGCCGACTTTCAAGTCTTTGACTTCAGAACCGACAGCAGCTACTACACCTGCTGCATCGGAACCGAGGACTGCAGGGTATTTCTGTATGAAAACGGCATAATCGCGTATCTTGTAATCGACGGGGTTGATGGCCGTAGCAGTGACCTTGATACCCACTTCATTGGGCTTCAAATCAGATAGGCTGCGTTGGGCAATGGACAGCTGGGCTTTTGGCTCAGGCACTTCGGCGCCCTGGAACGTTGAAGGAAGAGACATGTTTATTGAATTCTTTTGTAATGTCGTAATTATTGTAGGAGATTTTGTATAACGGATGAATAGATTGCTTAAATTCGGTAAGAGTGGTAATAGGGTAGTTCGGGCCAATGCGATGCTGATTGAGAGCTTTAGAGTGACATGAACTGACTCAAGGAATTTTGTGTTCGCAATTTTCACGTTTCATGTGAACTTATAATAGTTAGTATGCGGGGAGTGTAGTGGGAATGCAAAATTACATCATCCGGATCAGTTCGGCCAAATAAAACCGGAAAATAGCGGCCCGTCCCAACAGTGCAAACTACCAAAATACCGCCAAATCACTATTTGTTTACTTCTTAGGCAGCTGTAGCTCTAGTTAGCATTAATTAAAATTTCACAGTTTGAAGAGAGTAGACGTTAAGTTCGCGTACTAAACTGTACATAGTTTGTATGGAATTAAGTACGTTACAACAAATGTACTGCATATAACTGATAGTTCGTCTTAGTAGGCTATATCCGGTTATGTTGGCTTTCCGGTTACTCATATCGGGTGCATGAGAGTCTTGTCATGGAAACGGGCTGGATTCACTATTTACTCGGCATGATGTCGTTCTTTCCAGTGGCGTCCCCTTAGTAGCGCCGTTCAAAGGTTTCTACCCAGAGCCGCACACTGCGTTTACCCCGCTCTAAAGAACCACAGAAATACACCAAGATGTGTACGTAACGTAAGATGCATTGATGCTTAGCCAAGCCCTTGTGTTACGCTGGGCCCGAGCATCTAAAAGCGAAGTAGCAGGCTTTGAGTCCGAAAGTATATACCGACCGTTATAGCAATGCTCTCGCCAGGATTTTTTCCACTGATAAGAAATGCTTTTTTGTCTCTATGTTTGCTTACTTCTCATGAACGTAGCTTGCTTTCTTGCCACTGCTTGGCGAAGTTGTTACAGCATTGTGACATGGAGTAAACGTGCTAATATGAGTTCAAACGAATAGCATTTAATTCGTTAAGTCATTGGATAAATGTGTCAAAAGGAATATGCAGATAGTTATTGAATAAGAGAAAGAAATGGTTCATCCAAACTGAGTATGTGTAGTGGCGAGGGATGTGATGTCATTAGCTAGCGCTACCTTTTCTTTCAATAGACATACATTGTAAAGATACGAATAAGAAAATATGCTTCATTATTGTTGGGTAAGCGAGGGGTCGTGAGCAGGCGAATGTATGGTAGCAAGTACGTACTGACTACCTAAATGCAGGGTTAGGGTTGACTTTTGTGTATGAGAGCTAATATTTGCTCCATATACGAATGCGCACCACTTTCGAAAAACACATTATATAAGTGCAGCAGTCTCTGATACATAGAATGAGAGATGATTTAGATAAAGCCAAGACTAAGACAGCGGGAAGTAATATTTCGCATCTAAAGCTTAGGTGTTCATCCTTCTCTTTCCAATGTCAACAAGTAGCCTATACGAATGAAACGATGCATATTGCAATCTTTCTCGAATCCCACTTTTGTTGTCGGCATGCGCAGGGGTACCTAGAGGACGTTCCCTGTCGTTCCTGTGGGTTGGACTTTGAAGCTAGACCATGTTAAGTGTTTCATCTACTAGGTATTACTAGCGGATCTAACCAATGCTCGAACAGAGACGTCTAAAGTATCTTCGTTTGAATCTCAATGTATCACGTCTTGTTCGCAACATATCCGTTGCGTACCAAGCAATGCAGTTGAAAGACTCCAAAACCAAAAAGATGCCCCCAATAATGTTAGCATTGACCACAGTCTCGCTCCCCGAAAGACATACTTCAGGGACCGTGTCTAATTCTCACTGCCCATAAAAAGCTCCCTGTTCGAGGTAGGCTTGGCGGTTTGCGGAACTGCTTCTAAATTGATCGCTCATATCTGTGAACAAGCAGGGGCAGGGGCATCTAGCATGCTCGGAGACTCTTCGAGTGCGCCCTTGGTCTAATCCAAGTCCGACGCGACTTAGATTGATATTTCGTCGCAATAATTCGTATGGTGCCACAGAGTCGGTACCCAGTAATGAGCAGCCCAATTGGCGCCATCTTCGGAACTTTTATTATCATGGGGCCTTGATTGGCAGGGCCCTTGCCTTAACCCCACATAACGATGATATTCCTATCTCAACTTGCTCATTGGAGAGCTGATGTGATACTCCTCACATTCATCGTCACATTTCTCACTATTGCACCGAGGATTACGAAGCTGACACTGTGCAGTGAACATCGATTGTGTCATGAGCTTGTTCATCGTCCTGGGAATCCCACCAATTGCCTTCTGCGACCCAAGAGGGGTCAAGAGTTGCCTTCTGAGAACCGGAAAGACATGGCACCTCGGGAGTCTTCTTGGGTTAGCTTGAACGGGTAGATTCGTGTGGCGGGTTATTGGTGGGTCTATTGGTGGCGTGCTTCTGGTTGCGCATAACGTTGTCCATGTTATCGCCCAAAAAGAGTTGGACAATTTACATCAGAGAAAAATATCCCTAAATAGCGCTGAGATTGTTATCAGTGCAACAGAGAATAACCGCCACGCAGCGGTCAACGAATGTGCAGAGTGAAGAAGCCCATCAGCTGTCAAGTGCTTTGGTTGCGATGCTCCGGGCCGGCCAGAACATCAAAGCGTTGCGATGGAAGAGTTACTCCTATAAGCTTTATTACCTTCCAGTATAGTCCATAGTGCGTTGTGTAATACAACAATACATCGGTCGTCTCTAACCCGAGGGTAATGTACGGAAAAACCCCACTTTACCGTGTATGCATGAAGATCCCCTTCCAAGACTCGTTTACACTGGTGCCCCTGGTTTGCCGAGCTGGCGCCAGGCGATTCCAAGTAAGTGTCTTTGAAGCACACCACAAACATAGGTTCTTGCGTGCAGATTGATAGCCGGTTAGGTTACCCCAAACGTCATGGTCGACCGGTTGTTCGTACACGTCTGCTCGGTTGAAGGAGCATGAAGCCGGATAAACGGATGGAAGATCCAGATACATATCAAAGGTATTCCGTGCCGAAATGAAGCAGGCCAAACTTTCTAGCTGGTTGCGACAGCTTCCGCTCTTTTTCTTGTCTCAAAATGAGAAAGGCTGTTGTCGGCCTAGCTGGCCTTCTCAGCTACACATTCGCACAAACCAGCTCTGTGAAAGTCAGTTGGATTGACGAAACACCCGGATACCTGGATGGAACTACATTTGGTGTACCTTGGCCTCGTGGACAGCACCCGGCAAATAAAACAACCTTCACAATCGATGGCGATGCGAGCTTTCAGTCATGGGTCACTGCGTATTGGCCTGATGGCAGTTTGAAATGGACCGGGCATGCTCTAGGGGCTAGCGATTCTCCTCTCGATCAATATACCATCACAGCATCAAGTTCAAGTGATCCGACTTCATCTCGTCTTAGGAAGCGTGGCGAGGGTATCCAAGTTAGCGACTCCGATGACGAAATCGTAGTCGACAATGGAAAAATCACTGCAACATTTCCTAGATCAGGAAATGTGCTTGTTTCTAGCATTAAATCCAATGGAAAGACTGTCGGGACAAATGGCCATCTTATCTTGCGATCCCAAACTGGCACCCCGGATGACAATGACGACGGCAAGCCTATTGGCATCGACTACTTTAGCTTTACCAGCAAGATCTCCAACGTCACTGTATCTGAGGAAAACACTGCTCGTACGCTTGTCACAGTCAATGGTGTTCACACCATAAGTGGAGATGGTATCCATCAGGACTGGCTTCCGTTTGCCGTGCGCTTCTACCTTTATGCCAACTCTGAAGCGATCCGCATCATCCATACAATCATCTACGATGGTAACATGTACAGCGACTTCATTTCTGGTATCGGTATTCGATTCGATGTGCCTTTGGCTGAAGAAAAATTCTACGATCGCCACGTTCGTATCGCAGGCGTCGATGGTGGAATCTTACACGAAGCGGTTCAGGGCATCACAGGTCTCCGCCGTGATCCAGGCCAAGATATCAGAGCAGCGCAATACAACGGCACAAAACTTCCAGACCCTTCAACTTGGGACCAGCGCGTGACCACCCGTCTACAATGGATCCCGACATGGAGTGATTATCGTCTCACTCAACTCTCTTCAGATGGCTTCAACCTCAAGAAACGCACCAAGGCCGGCCAGAGTTGGGTGAAGATCCCAGACGGAACGAGATCAGGTGGTCTTGCTTACCTCGGTGGCGCAGCTTCTGGTGGCCTTGCTGTTGGTCTACGCGATTTCTGGAAAAAGTATCCGACTAGCCTGGACATCTCCAATGCTGCCACGGATACAGGATCTATCACTATGTGGCTGTACAGCCCACAAGCAGGACCTTTGGATATCCGACCGTACCACGATGGGCTTGGCGAGGATACTTATAAGAAGCAGCTTGATGCTCTTGAAATCACCTACGAGGACTGGGAATCGGGTTACGACAGTCCAGTAGGTATCGCGCGCACCAACGAGTTGTACATCTATGCTTTCGACACCACTCCCTCGGCTGAGAAGCTCTCTGTGCTCACTAACTTCACGAATAACCCGCCAGTACTCATTCCAGAACCTAAATACATGGCTGACACCAAAGCACTTGGATCCTATTGGGGCGTTCCAGGCGCAGTTAACTCTGCCCAAGGTCAAACCATTGAAAAGAATATGGATTTTCTCATCGGTTTCTACAAAGATCAAATTGAACAAAGACGCTGGTATGGCTTCCTTGATCATGGCGATATTATGCACACCTATGACAATGACCGCCATCAGTGGCGATACGACATTGGTGGGTACGCCTGGGACAACTCGGAACTATCACCCGATCTCTTCTTCTGGGACTACTTCCTCCGCACCGGCAGCCCCGACGCCTACCGCATCGCTCACGACCAAGTGCGCCACGGCGGCGAGGTTGATTCGTACCACATTGGTAACTTCACCGGTCTCGGTACGCGACACGGCGTCCAGCACTGGAGCGACAGCGCCAAACAAGCCCGTATTTCGACACCAGTATACCGTAA